AAAAAACTGTACTTTTGAGGTTAAACAAATGTTCATAATTAATATAAATAAATTACAAGTTAAAAGGGGCATGGAAATTTCTCTTTTTTGTACCAAAAATATATCGAACCGTAAAGTATCGAACCGAACCGTGAATTTCCTGTATCGTTGCACCCCTAATATATACAGTATAAGACAATTTGCAAAACACAAAATTACATTTAACTGCATGAGATTAGCAAAATAAATCTGCAATTTTTAAGACTCCAAAAGAAATGGAGATTGTTGCAAAAGGATTTTTTTAACTAACTAATGCTGACAAAAACAAACAAACAATAAAAGGACTTGACATGACCACCAAGGCTYGCTAGCTTAGGTGGGCTAGTAGCGCTCCCTAGTTAAAATGTCTCGAGAATATCCAAAAAAGAATAATGAATGATTCACAGACGTCTTGTCCGACTCCTTGGTTTGCAGTTCGTTGGGGCTAATTTTGTCCAGCCACAGGCTTTAGCCATTGAGGGTGGACGTCCAATAGAGTGCCTGGAGCGTGAGTGAATGTGGGTGTGGTTTGGCGAAGACTGAGTAGGTAGGATGGTGAGCAAGATTAACATAAATGACGTGGATCATTTTTCATCTGTTTTCCTTCATGTCTTTGGAGGTGAAGAGATTGGGGGCGGATCGACCAAAGAATATTCAAATCCTGCAACAGGAAAAGTGTGAAAACTGTTTTCAACAAAAGGACTGGCTAACATCGCAAGAGTCGCTAACAAATCCCTTTTCTGCTTTCAGTGTCCCATATCTTTATATTATTTCTGTTAGCCCACCCTCCAAACATCAGACATTACTAAAAAAACTYCTTGATCATTTTTGAACTCATTAGGTTGAACTTGATTGTTTTCCACAATATTTTATTTCACCAAGCTGTGAAATAGCTTCAGGTGAGCCTGTGAGCTCATGAATTAAGTTTGTTTAACTTCAAAAGTTCAAGAAAAACAGCCTCTGGGTAAAAAAAAGGAAAAAAGAAAAAAAATCTATACAAAATTTATGCAAATAACATCCTACATATGAAACTTTTCCAAGAAAATCCTCAAATGATTCAAACTAGAGTCAATTTGTGCAGCAGATCCGTAAACATCATATATGACAACTTGAAGAAAACCTGATAATAACGTATTGTTCTGAAAGGCAAAGTTTCGATTAACTTTCTATTTATTGCAGTGTTTTTTTTCTACAAATTAATAACATCTCGTCATGATGGATAATGCCAAGCAAATGTCATGTATAATTACATTGCCGCCGCCCCCCCCATAATGTATGGGTTTAACAGAAGACGTTTTATAGGAAGAGTCTGAGCAGAATGTTTTACGGTTACAGATGCACACTCTCCGTAAACATTCCTGACTGACAGACTGAAGCGTGACAGCCTCCAGTAACGACCACATCACCTCACCTCCTCCTGTAAAGTTCGACACATTTACAGAACCAGCAGGAGCGTATGGGAACGGAGCGGTAGGAATTTATAAGGGTGAGAAGGAGACACACTCACACAAACTCAGAAATGAACTGTCACGCGTTCGGGGCGATGCCTACAATACAAGAACCAGGATTCATAWAGTTCAAAGAGATGCATCCGGAAAAGTGTATTAGCAAAGTATCAATTTAAACTACAATTATCACCTGATTTAAGATGGCTGCCAGAGCCAACCGACCATAAAAACACACAAAAAAAGGCCAGAACTCTGTCAATTTTACAGAAACTCAGCTAAGATTTGTTGCAGTAGCAGCTAAAACTGATCCACATCAAACAGATTGTGCAAGATCTTTYTTTAAAAACTTGCAGCCAACTCTGTCTGTTAGCAAAATATTTGGTGCAGATTTTAATGCAACTTTGAGGAAATAATGAAGCAGAGAGAATCCAAGATGGCCACTGCAGTTAGCTGATATGGGAAAACATAAAAAAATAATAATAATACAATCAATATTACAAACAATGTGGTAAATTTCAGTGTGGTAGTAGCTGAGGACATTCTCAATACATAATCTGAGCATGACATCTCTCAACTCTTAATTTCTCAACATCAGGTGATCTTAGTTTAAAACCGTGGGCAAGGATTGTTAGGTCTTTGGATTAAAGTACTTTCATTGCTTTACACAGCTTTGGATGCATTGCTCATTATTTCCACACATATTTCCTCAGCAAAAAGAGAGGAGCACTTCTGACTCAGTAAATAAAAGGTCACAGACGGCAGATTGATGCTTGAAAGGGGCCATCAGTTGTTGGTAATGACCTTTTCTAGCAACAATCAACTACTCTGTCTGTAGTTGATKGTATATCATAAAGAAACTTTAAACCAATTTGTGGTAATTACAGTGGAAAACAATACATCTGTCATCCATCTGGCTGTGAGACTGCCTCCATGATTTTTTTTTCTTTTCATTTTTTTTTACAAACTTCAGAGACAATTATCATACTGTGGAACCAGCTTAATTGTATACAAACAGAAGGCAGCACCTGTGATGCCACCGTGAAACATTTTTCATGCTCAACAGCTCGGTGACAGCAGATGAGCGTATAAAAAAACCAAACAAACACACAACAGAGTCTTGGCTGTGGCCAGCAATGAGCCGTAAAACTGCAGGCTGCAGTCTGAGTGATGATGGCATTCACACAAACACAGACTGATAAAACGTCCCCGCAAAAGTAGCTAACGCAGCAAAATAATGGTGGAAAAACCCCCCAGCTGTGGTTGAAATGCTGTTATARGCTGGCTTTGTATTTAAATGTAAAAAGGATCATTGTTTTGCTTAAAATAACAGCATTAAAAGAAAAATCTGTGCTGAGTGAGTAGTTTTGGACATTGAGCTTTATCAGAAAAACAGTTGCTTCAAATTCTTCAAATGTTTGCAGTGAAAGCAGACTCCTCATAAATGCAGGTGATTGATGTGTTCTGCACCTTTTGGCCACTGGGTAAAGCATCATCACATGTAAACCATAGATTTAACAAACAGAGTTGACATCGCTCTGACATTTGTAACAAACAGTACAGAGAGCATTATATTTGCTTCCGTACGTTTTTCYGCACCTGTCTCGTTCCACAATTTTTCTGTCATTTCAACAATTCATGTACTGTATCAAAACATTGAGCTGATTTATGCCATGATTGCAATGACTTTTCAACAACCTATAGTTTTTCAGCTATTTAGACWTTTTTTGGACACTTTTTTCTCTTGAAAATAAAATGGAGTTGTCTTCAATGCCTTTGAAATCCTTTAAAATGTTGATAAATCTGCTGTATATATAGACAGATGTGCGCACATAGGGTGTATTTTTTTTTTACAGATTTATTTATTTTGTGTGCATTCACTTAAAATAGACTTATTTACTGATATAAATTTATTTTACAAGGGGTTCTATATATTCAAAATGTGTGTATATATGTAGATTTGTATAGATACACAGATAGTGTTAATGTTGATATGTTCTATACAATGGTTTTGACATGGAAAGAATCAATTAATAAAATAATAATAATAATAATAATTTACTGCACTTTTTACCTTTTACTTTGGTTCTGCTTCTTTGTGCCATTTTCAGCCTTCTTTGGCTTCTTTTATTGACAACTTTAGCTTTTTTCTGCTAATTTCAGCTGTTGTTCTGCTCATTTCTGCTACTCTTTTGCTGATTTCAACTTTTGTGCTTCTTCCTGCTTTATTTATACTAATTCAAGCTGTTTTCTTCCTCTCAGGCTATTGATTTCAGCTAATCTTAACTGTTTTCTATTCTACAGCTTTTTAGCTATTTTTTCACAAATAACTTGTACTTTTTTTTCTTGTTTTCCAGCTAATGTAAGCTTTTTATTGTTCTTTTACTATCCATCTGATAAATCCATCCAATTTCTGCTATTTTAGCAACATTTGCTTTTTCAGCACATTTTGCCATTTGTTTCTACTGATATTTCACTTTTTTCTTTCCACACACTTTCAGCAAATGACAGCTTTTGAAATTAAATTCACATTATTAGTTTTGCTAACAAAAGCTTTTTAGCTTCTTCAGCAAAACATTTAAGCAATAAGCATTTGCACTACTGCATTTTCATAAAAAATTCTAATTCTCCATTTACAATGTGTATCTACTCTTTCAATCTGAGTTGTAAAAAAGCAGATGATTAGTTAGATAAAAGTGAAGGGAACTGCTGTCTGTTTGGTTGAGAAACCAATGAAAAAAAAGGCTGCACATAAGATCATCTAATTCCCTTTGGGATCAATAAAGTATTTTTGAATTGAATTGAATAAAACTGAATTAAAACAATCCATCTTGATATAATTTCTAAATAAATTTATACAGAAAGGTACACTTTACCATAACAGCTGTTCAGAACATGAATATGTAATAAGAATATTACCATAAACCTGGTATTTGTGGGAGTAGGCTGTGATTGTAATGATTTGATGGCTACAGAAAAACATTTAAAGCTGACCTAAGATCTGTAAGAAACTTGTTAAATGCACTGGTATCTAAAAAGAGTAAAATCAATTGCCTTGTTTTTATTCCGTGCCACACATCGAAGACAAGCTTTTCTTCTTTATTATATCAGCAATGGGTTGATAGATCAGTGAAACCAGATCAGGACAGACTGATCTGCGCAAAAGAGGTTAAGGCAACAGTAATGTTCTCAGTTTAGCCTCCTTGATTAAATCGGAGAACTTGTCACCTCATATTAGCAATGTTTTTCAAATGTATGCCCCCGGTGAGCCCACTAAGCTCAAAGGGCCAGCTTGTGCATTCATACCAGCCAACACAACTCGACTGTGTTTATGATATAAAGGTCAAACCCTTTGTGGTAAACTGGCCAAGTGTCTGTAATTGGAAAAAGTTTGGGATCTTTAAACTTGGGCAGCTAGCTTTTAAAAGGTCTCTAGGCAAGACAGAAGGCAGGACATTTCATTTCCCAAGACCTCAGTGTGCCTGTTATTTTATTTGCTTTGTCGTGTGACTATGGATCATATTTTCCACGAGCCCAAGGAGCTATTTGCCCACGTTAGATGAATACAAAATACATAAAATGAACAGCTGAACAAAACTGGAGGTCAAAAGATGAGGATTCTTACCATCAGACCATCTCATGGCATCATCCAGTTGTACGGGCAGTCCTTTCCAAACCACACTGTCTTTAGGGAAACCTAAGTCCATACGTCGAAAGTGGTCGTCGTAGCGCCAGTACTGATTATCTTTGAAGAAGTAGGTTTTGTCGTTGTGTAGCCAAACAAAAGCTGCATCCACTCCTTCCACTGGTAGGCCAAAGTCYCTGATGGGACGAGGGTAACCCTCCTCCACATTATTGTCTTTGAATATCCAGTACTTCTGACCTGAGGGTTGAACACAGTCATCACAAACAGAAAAATAAATACTCTACWTTTGAAATGCTTAATATAAAATATATACATTTTAACAAATGAAGTGGTGCCCACACATGCTCAAATACAAACTAAATGTCGTAGCAGCAGTTTTCACCTTTGAAAAATACTATTTTGTGATCTCCTGGCCTCTCGTACACAGCATCCACGCTGTCCAGATTGGGAGGAAGACCCCTCCAGAAGCGATGGATCTGAGCAGGACGAAGAGATACCAGGTGCTTTTCTCTCGTTAGTCTCCAAAAGTACTTCCCTTAAAGAAAAAACAAAGTGATTGTAAGGAGAGTAGATAACTCAAAGTAACAAACATGGAAAATATACATAAAGAGCTACAGAGTAGTAATAACATAGCTCCACTAATTTCAGTCTATTTATCCAACTGATGGATAATTCCAACAGATACATTTATAGATATGTTAAAAGTGTTTGGTAGATATATAAGGCTTCCATAAGGTAAGTGGTGTGACAGAGGAAATATAGGGCTAGATAACATAACTTAGGCCTGGATCAATAACGGTATTGCCCTATTAGAATGTTCCATTTACAAAGTAATAGGCCTGTATATTTAAATGCAGTAACTTGAACCAGAGGTTTGGGCAACATGCCAAAGCATAAGTGAGGAAGATTTAGACAGGAGAGAAGGAGCCTAATGAGCTTAAAGGAATCTGAAGGGAGTGAGTTCAGTGACTTTTGTTCGAACAGGAAAACAGGACATCCTTGACAAGATGCCGAGGCTCTGTTCCAGCTGAGCTGTGACCTAGAGATTGTCTCTTGTGGTGTTCCACAACATTAGGCCCGCTAGCAGAGCTGCTATTTCTGAGCTTTTCAAAAAGATGTGCAGTACGTCTATGACCCAACTCTGTGCCAAACAAACCCAGCTACTGTCCCCGGCCAAAACACAGAGCAGTTTACATCAGCACTGGTCAGAAATGCCTCCAATCCTATGCTAAGCTTTCATCAGTCAAAGAAACTGCTGACCTCTTATGGTTTCCGATCGAACACTGTCTGCTACAAAGGTCTGCGCCTCTTGTCTCTAATCTGGAATATTTTCATTGTGCTTTAAAAAACACAAACATCTTATTTTCACGGTGGTGGAGTGGCCTAATCGGTTCAATACTGCTCTGCAGGGTGTCACCAGGGCCCAGAACTACTTTCTTTGAGCTCTGTGCTGAATAGATTGTGCTCACAATGCCCTGAACAATGCCCCCTACCTGCCTGCCTCTTTTCTCTGATCTCTCAGTTGCCAACCTCTCTCTTACTTTTGGCATATAAACAAGTGACAGTGTCGTCAGTCCAAAGACATAAGCTCAGGAGACTGGCTTGCACTGCTTTGTTTTACTCCTCACCCAAAATGCAAAGACATGGCAACACATTGAAATACCTGGCCGCAAGCTATTCAGGTTCAAAGTTGAGCCTAAAGTACAAGAATTGTGTTTTGGAGTTAGAAAAGTAAATATTTCTTCTACTGGTAGTTTTGTAATCCAGTCTGTAACCAGTCCTTGTGAATTCTGTTTCTTTTTGAGAGTTGACAAGATCGTCAAGACAACTTCTCACTTCTTATGGACTATAAACCAGGCTTTATGTTCACTTTTTCCATCTCTACATCATCATATGTGAGGAGAATCAGCAGCTGCCCTACTCAGACTGCTTGGTTGATTATGAAACTTAAAGCCCAGGAGGGAAGTCCTTGATCCAATCCCACCAGGTCTCTGACTTCTCCCTTCGGGATTCTGGTTGCTATAACCTTGATATCTTGGGTCATGTGCCATGAGGCACCAGAAGGAACGTGTAGTACTGTCATGCCTGCTAGCTGCTTGCTCCCCAGCCCAAGGGCTTTGCTTTACCACCCCTGCCTAATTTTCAGACATGGTGTGTGAGTGATGAGCTTCACCTGCGAGTCAGATCCAATCAGCTCTGCTACTCATACTGTTCTCTTTCCACAGCATGTTGCCAGAGCAATGACCCCAACACCTCACTTAATCTGGTTCCAGCATTTTTTATTTTTTTTTGGTAAACATTTGTTGTTGTTTTTTTTTTTTTGCCTGAACTAATATTGCTCTTTCTGGGTTTCACATTCCAAGCCAATTATTTGCATGTTCTCGCACTCATTCTTCCGCCAGTTTAATTTTAATTTGACAAAACATTGTTTTCAATTTTGACCATGGCTTCGGCTTTTTTACACCCTGCTTTTTTTTTGTCAATTCAATGCCCCCGTATCCTTTAGGCTGCAACTAATTATTAACATATTTTTTTAATGGGGCGGCCATGCGAGGGTCACTGAAAATCCTGGGGTGGTTTGGTGCGCCAAATCCACAAAACATTTTCAGAAACTCTATTATGCTGTTGTAAAACTGTGATTTGAAAACTCTGGCATTATGAGAGTTAAGGACTTGTCAACAGATGTACTTTCTTATTTTACAGGTAATATTATGGATTATGTGATGTCATAGACCAGAACAGACATTTGGAGTTCCACAAAAATTCAGTTTTAATGTGTAGCACAACTTCATTTGTGTTTTTGGTCATTTTGTGCATTTGGACTGGGAGAGTTTATGCTCAGGGTTTTATTAGAACGGTGATTATGAATGCATCAGGGTGCATCACTAATCATTTTATAAATGCACCATGGCTCTCTAAATCATAATCGAAATTAGCTTAAAGAGTCCTAACCCTTTATATATATATATATATATATATATATATATATATATATATATTAAATTAAAGACGCATTGTCTGGTCACAGCTTTTTTTGGAAACAGATTGAAACCTGCAATTGGTGCATTTCTAATTACAATCCTACATTTTAGTTATATTTTAGTTATTAGTTAGTTTATGAATATAAAATATATTTCAATAATTAATATTACTACTACTCAGCAGTAGCAATAGTGAAAACAGAAAACTGTCATAGTTCCTAAACTTCTTTGTTCTCTTTTCCATGCACACCAACTGGCTCAGTTTCTTCCTTGAATTTACCCACCTTTAAAAAAGAAAGCCTCCCCTCGTATTTGGGCCACTGCATCAAAGTGACTCGTGCATCTGTCTGGAGCATCTTGCGCCACCCTGAGAGAGAGAGAGAGAGAGAGAGAGAGATGAGTTGAGAGAAAATCTGGAGAAAAAATGTTATATACAATTGTGGACAACAGCAAAAGAGCAAAACCGAAAACTAGATTTCCTCAAAAAAAGAAACAAGGATATGAAGAAAATTTTAAAATTAAGCTTCTGAGGCATTGTGTACGGTCTGCTGCCTATAGAAACAAAAACAATATAAAATCATCACATTTATAAGATTAGTGTTTAATGATTTTTCTGTGGAAAAAAGAACATATTACAAAACAATTAAACTAACAAATTAAAGCTGAACTATTGTTTTATTCAGTGCACACTGTGAAACAAACAAACTAATTAAAACAATTTGTATTACAATAACAAAACAGTTTTTTCAGCCTCTAGTCACTTTACCAATTTTTCCCTGATAAGATACAGCATAATCCTACATTGAAGGTTACAGTATTGTTTTTCAGTAACTGCATTATTTTTCAACAGCGAACAGAGGTTATTGAATGGTAGATATGTTCTGTTTCAATCCCATGTCTAATAAGTAATTTATAAAATAAATATGTGCTTGTTTGCTTTCGGTCGATATGATAAACTTCCCAAACAATGACATGAATAGCGTATGATAATCAGTGATAACCAGTGTCCATTCCATGAAAATTACATGCAATTACAACCAAAAGTAATTATATTTTTCTCCTCATTGTGTTTCATGTCCTTCTGGCACTATTGGCTTTGATTTACTCTAAAAGCTTGTGTGATGCTTGTTGCCTTTTTAAGGGATGTTACTGAAACGGCCTGGAGAGATACTAAATCCAGCAACAAAGATGCAAAGTTGTCAACTCAAAGACCCAAGATGCTGCAGAACATCATAGATCACGCATGATAACGGATAGACGAGTATAAAATTCTTCACTTCACTCAAAAGTGACTGATGCACTGCTCGGTCTGTTTAACACATCCAGTCACTTGGGCTGACCCACTAATGTCTGATGATTGCTTATGATTCTGATTTAATGGAACCCATTTCCCTTTTGTCCACTAATGACAAATTGTTCACTGAACTACTTTAAAAGAACCTTAATGAGATCCGTCCTCCTCTCTTAGTTTAATCTCCAATAATACATATTCACTAATCGTTTTTACGCTCCATTGCTTATTTCTGGCCATTTTCACTGGTACGGTCTCTCCTATTGAGACCCTGTGAGGCCAAGTGATGACTTAATGCCCAAATGATTGCAAAATTTCAGGAATTACTTAGTGTTGCGACCCATTAATTGTTCAAAGGAGCACATGGCCATGAAATATATCAGCATCCTAACATATACTCGTGCTCATGAGATGAAGGACCACCAAATCTGGTTGATTTAATGACAAAGTGATGGGAAAAGTCAATGGATCGTATTTTTTCAGTTCTCATGTAGGAGTTTCCTGTCAGGCTTATTTAGCTCCGCACATAAAGGAAAAGATTTAGATGTTTTACAACTAATTTAATCAACACAAAATTGCAGTTTAATTGGATCATCAATGGGAGCTACCGAAGGCCATAGGTAGAACTCAAATGCAAGAAAACCAGTAAGAAAATGACCAAAAAATCTGTAACAATTAGCTAAATTTAGTTTATCAAATTTCATTTCACCAAAAAAAAAAAAAAAATCAAATAAAATGAAAGGTAATTAAAATAATTAAATTAATAGAAACAGAAAAAAGAACAGAAATAAACAGCAGAATTAGTCAAATGAGTGGAAAACTGCTGAAATTTCTAAGCAAAGTAAAAGACATAAACGTCCAGCTGAAGTCTGTACTCTACGTACTTGACTAAGGGTAGAACATTACAGGATTTAAGAACCCTCTGGCAGTGTCATTGATTTTAGCTGCTGGTTCCTATGTTCACCTGCAGGGAGATTTTATTACAGCCTTCTGTGCCAAAACCTTTGCCAAAGCATATATATTCCAAAACACCTGCAGAAGCTGGCAAATATCCAATCGTTGTGTGTTTGAGAGGGTCAGCAAAAGGAAAAAGATAGAAATGGAAATGTGCACATAGATCATTCCAGGTTTGACTGCTCGAGACACTGAATTATTTGTGTTGGACTATTACACTAAAAGTACAGCTTATCTCGTACTTACAGGAGTGTGGATCTGTTTTCAGGAAGGTCCAGCAGGACGGGAGGCTCAGGTGTCTGGGATGGATTGCCTGGCTGATTTGTGTGTGACACAGAGTCTCTGACACCTGGAGGTTTCAAGTAAACATACCAAAAACAAGACAAATTGTTCAAGATTAGTTCACTGATTATTAAAATACCCACAGAAATCACTTTGTTGTTGTGACAGTCACAATGTTTGACTCTAAGTCACCTCATGTGAACTCATCTTCTGCCTCTGCAGCCCCATCCTTCAGCATGCTTTCCAAAATTTCATTCGTGTTTTCATGATCATTTGTTCCTCCCCTGCCCACTCCTACTCTCTATAGCAGATGATAAGGTCATATACTATAAAGAGGTCCAATTAACTCCATCCATGTTTTCATTAATCAATAACCTCCCCCCACAGAAGTAAAATCTTTTTTTGTCTCCTTTCACACACACACACAGAAACACACACACCAAGTGAATGGAAATGTCCTTGTACCATAGAGCTGCCAGACACGGACTTTGTCCTCATAGGGCAGATCGTATTTCAGAGGGTCTCCCACAGGACCTTGGTAGTACGGTCTCATGATGGACTCCATGGCTGAGGTGTGGACCAGGCCGATGGCGTGGCCGAATTCATGGACCGCGACTGCAAACAGATCCATCCCATGGGAGTCTGAAAAGAAAGGGACACGGAAAGTGGGAATGGTAAATTCAAATCATGCTCTTTCATAAATACACGTGCTGTCTTAAAGTGGACATGTCATGCTTTTAAATCATTTATTTTCTCATTTAAATTATTCAGTTGTGGTTTATAGAAAATGGAACTGCAGTGCTTTGGTCTGAATTCCTTGTAGTTTTAACTCCATAGGCCCCTCTTTTCCCCGTTTTGAGGTGCTTCTGGGAGAAACTCATTTTGGTGCTGTTTCTTTAAATGCAAATGAGGCACTTTACACCCCGCCTCCTTCCAGGTCTCATGGTGTGTTCCATTTACAACGTATTCTGGAACTGGTAAATGGTAGTGACGCAATTTTCCAACAAACCGTATGAAATCGCATTCCAGTTAGCCAACAGGTGATCGTACTGCTTCTGCTAACCTAGTGTATTTATTTATTATTTACCGTTATTTAACCAGGCAAGTCCCGATGAGATCTCAGATCCCTTTTTCAAGGGAGGCCTGGGCCTGAAGGTAACCTATTGTACATGTTTTTGAGAGTGGGGGAAACCGGAGTACCCGGAGAAAACCCATGCAAGCACGAAAGGAACATGCAAACTCCACACAGAAAGACCCCAAGTCCAAACTGGGGATTGAACCAAGGACCTTCTTGCTGTGAGGCGTCGGTGCTAACCACTGAGCCGTCGTGCTGCCAACAACAACAGTAGTTACAACTAGAGCTGCCACGATTAATCGACGACTAATCGATTATTAAAATAATCGATGACTAATTTAATAATCGATTAATCGTTTTCTTTTTTTGTTGTTCTTTACTTTGTTTTTCTCTCCAAACTGCTTTGACACCTTCCACTGCCACATCTGCCTTTCTGTCCTTGACACACATGCACAGTAGTGGTAACTGGGGTGGGCCGTGGACGTCACAAGACATTATACAGACAGGCTCTGGTATCATGGCTACCTGACAACAGAGCTCAAAAGTGTGGGATCATTTTAAGAAAATGAAAGAGAAACCTGTGCAATATCTGCAGAGCAGAACTTACCTTCCACAGCAATTATTTTTAGTTAGCATATAGCTAAAATCTAACGATGGTTATATAATAGCAGCTGCATTCTGARGTGATAAGCTGTATGTTTTATATTTAATTAATGTATGATCCGATTAGTTGACTAATCGAATAAATAATCGGTGATTAATCGATTATTAAAATAATCGTTTGTGGCAGCCCTAGTTACAACACTGTTATATAAACAATGACAAAAAGAGACCTCTACTACATACGTCATGCAAATAAACAACAACTTTAATACATACAGCATGCACAGAAAACACAACTTGTACGAGCAATTAAACACGCACAAAAACATTAAGAATGATAATTAACAGTAAAACCTTTGAAGTTAACTTTCTGTGAGTAGCCGCCATCTTGAAATTGGGATAGTCTCAGTCGCTACCACTATACAAATTGGATTTACCATTGGAGGGGGAGTTTCACATTAAATATACGAATGGGAACAAGCAAAATTCCACTCCTCTCTGTTCAGTCATTTTTGTAGTTTAATAGCAGAGATAATCCAGAAACATTTTATTTACAAATTGATTAAAAGATGTCAACAACAGAAGACTTGTCCATCCAGCCCTACATGTTAGAGCCAGAGTCTGACCCAGAACCAGATAGAGAATGAAGACGACAGACCTGCCGAACCTCAGATTCTCTAAGTTGGTAACCGTCCATGAGCTTGTTTAGCAGTTAAGCAGTAAATACTGTGAAGTTATAGTTCAAATATGTGATAGAAAATAGAGAAATCTGAACAGATTGAAAAATATGATCCAAAAAGTACATAAAGATAGCTACACAGCACTGGGAGAAACTAAATTCAACTTTTCAGAACTCCTAGAAACTCCAAGTACACAACAACGTCATTAAGGACAAAACAAGTAGGTTTTGCAAATGTCCCCATTTAAGTTAGAACAGGGTTGGAATTATTTAAAAATACTTAAAAGCACATTTTTAAAATCAAAACTGGTAAATTAATGTCAGGACAAAATTATCTTCACATGTGAAACATGCTTTTTGAGGTTTATTCATGTGAGAACTAACAGAGTCTTCATTTTGAGAACATAAAACATAATTTTCTCCCTTTCATAAATCATCAAATACTTTCACTAAGGCTTCACCTTCACTTTGATGAATATCAGAATGCAGCTTTTGTGTGACATCTATAGGGTGCAAGCTAAAAGACATAACAGACAGCTGTGGTGCCTGCGAGTGCAGTTTGGGATGTGGCGCAGTGAGATAACTATGGTAATACTGGCTGAGCCTCTGGGCTGCCAATCAAAACCTAAGTGCAGGAGAAAGATATCCAAGGAGACTGCAGGCCATTAGAGCACATTTCCATGGATGTTCAGCTGAAAAAGGAAAAAAACGTTTCCAAAAACGCCTTGTTGGGCTCTGCAAAGCAAGACAAAACCAGAGGTGCTGAGACTCAGATTTGCAAACATGCGAGTGCAAGCGTGTCGAGCCAAGCCAGCTCAGACCTCCTCGGTGGCTCGGATCAAATCTGCATTCTGTTAACCTCACATTGGCCTCGGGTTGGGAACATTTCAGCGCTGTGCTCCGTTAAAAGCAAAGGACAAGTGGAAAGGTGCACTTGAGCTTATGGCACTTATTATATTCAGGGGCCAAATGCCGTTTTCACTTTGCAGGAACATAAGGTGGAAAGAGGAAATGTGGACATATAGAGAGGAGGGATACTGGTGAAAATATGTGCGAGGCAATTATTATGGCCTGTCACCAAAGAGGAAAGGGCAACAATGTTTTTAGCCTGTCTGTATGTGTACATTTCTCTGTCATGTTAGCAAAACAGCTCATAAATCAGTGGACATCTTACAAAAATAAAGTAATCATTGGATGCAAATCTCTAACTCATTCACTCAACTTTAGCTAACATAAAAATATCTCAAGTACAATTTAGTCCAACCAACTAACCAGTCAATCAGTCAATGAGTCAACCAACCAATCAGTCACATGGATCTGAACACTGGACTTTTTCCTGGTTTCAGTACAGGTGAAGGAGATGTACAATTTTAGTTTGATGTGCTAGAATATACAGCACATAAAAAAGAGACATTAACATGATCCCAATGAATGATTTCTAAATAATAAATTKCCCGGTATCATCCCATTACTTTGATACATAGCCAATAGACTTTTAGGGTCACTCCTAACTTGGATACTGCATAATGTAAACAGTTTGACAAAAACAGGCTGCAGCATTTGGTTAAAGTTTAATGAGGGATGTGTTTTATAGGGTAGGTGGAAAGAACTGGGAACACTCAGAGCCAAGGGCAATCCTTTCCAAGTGATGTGACTGGTATTAAAATCTTGTTTGTGCAGGAATACGAATATTTTCACCCAAATATTTGAAACAAAAAACACATTGTTTTATAAAGACATAACACATTAATTTTACATGTTTGTATACTTTATATGAATAACCATAAACTTGACTTGCCTTTTTTTTACTTAGGCTATGGAAGGACCATATCTGTATCAAGTGGTTGGCTGTCTGGTCTAAAATGACAAGAAAATACAAATATTCTGCCTTTTTCACAAATAAACAATAATTATTCAAGAGTAATTCATGGTGAGGTCAAAAGTATATAAATCTACAGAATGTTGCCACTTCACGAAAGCAATAATACAGATTAAAATGTGAAGACATTGAGACAATAAGGGGCCAAATACAAACCCTATCCTGGTGCTTTGGGTCAGAATCTACAAGTTCATGTAAACTTCTTTTTACAGCTACTTTGTACCCATTTGGAGTCAACTTTAGGTTGGAATTTAAAGCATATCAAAAAAGCTTTATTTTCAGTTTTTACCTAAACAAATTCTTAATGATCCTGGTGATGTGTGTCTACAGGCTAACGAACTACTTCAGGTGTGGTTTCTCTCTTAGCAGCCTCATTTGATTCACATGAGCATGCATATTCACATGATGACCAGGAGGCTCACAAGTCCGTAATGACGTGCTCCATTTATCTGGGAATTCAGGAGCTGGAGCTTTGCCTGAACTTCCACCTGAGCTGAACGGGTTCCAGAGCAACKGGTCTAATCAGGTTAGGTGTCGTTACGGTTTTCTGACTCCTCAGATCAAACTGAACACATTTTTGGTTGAGACTTCATTTTCAACATGGAAGGAAAAAGTAGTTTTGTATGGAGGAACAGCTAACGAGGTAAACAGATTATCAACAAGCATATTTCCCCATCAAACCTGCCTTGCTTGTCATCAGCGAAGAGCAATTTCAGGTGGGAAACATCACTTTAAACACAGAATCATCACTTCCTGTCTTATCCGGCATAAGATTACTGTGTATTTTTGAAAAGACAAAATAAATGAGGGTCATGAAAACAAGAACATCTAATCCCCCCCGCTCCTCTTCATTGCTCTGATTCTATTAATCAAAGGTCTGTCGATACATGTGCTGCTGTAAACTACAACAGCCTCACCACACAGCCTGCTGGGAGCTATAGCTGGAACAAATTGAGTTGTGGTAAAATATGCTCACCAGCTTAAACAGAGTGAAAGGAAAGAGCGAAATGAAAAACAGCATCTCATCGCTATCATCTGCAGCACACCTCGGCTATGAGGTCTCAGCTCCATTTCTTGGGAGAAGCAGCATTGTGAGCTCGTGTGCCTGAAGGGGTCTGTCTGTCTGTCAGGTTCCAGTCCTAAAAAAGGAGCAGTGTGTGCTCAGGGTGGTGGTGGTGGGTGTTTTTATTCAAACCATTCAATACCTATGTGATTTTTTGCAAACTAACTTTTTTCCACCCCCAAAGCAGAAATGAGCAAACTACTGAACCTAGAGATTATTAGGTGGTAACTTACCATTTGTGGAATAACATGTCATTGATTGCATGGTTGAAACAGGGGCAGAACCAGTGGGGTGGTTGGGGTGGCAACTGCCACCCCTGGAACCTGATTGGCCACCCCGAGTGCCACCGCCAAATGATTATGAAGTGGGGATCACATGCGGCAATAAAAGCTGGTCAGTTTGAGCAAAAGCAGAGTATACATCGGTCAAGCGTTTGTATTGTTTGGTGTAGAGCAGAGGTGCCCAAAGTGGGGTCCATGGGTCAAAATTGGCCCACCGAGCCATTTCATTTTGCCCACCAGCAGTTGTCCTGGTTACTAGATTGTAATTATGTTAAGATTAAATATAAAATACAAGTAACTACAAGAGACATTTAGTTTAGATTTAAGCCCCTATCTAGATTTGCACACCTTATAAGACCCATATACTCAAATTTTAAATGATGAAAAGTCCCATGAGCCTTTGCTGCCTGAGCATACGTTGAATTTTCTCCATGTCCACGGGCTGAAAAAAAACAACTAAAGAATATGGGCAACCACACTGGCTGCTAGCTTAATCATAAAAAAATAAAACGATTTTACTTAAGTATTTGCATTTCTTATATTATTGCATTTGGCCCACTGCCCTCAGATTGATTTTAATTTTGGCCCTCTCAGGGAAAATGTTTGGGCACCCCTGGTGTAGAGGAAACTAGTTAGTGTGTGAAAAAAAACAACTTTTACAAACCACTGAATTAATATAAAGCAACAATTGTGTGCAAATCAGAAATATTGGATTGGGGTTTGTTTTACTGAGCTCAGGTTAAGAGGATATAACATGCCTGAATAACACCTGGTCTAATATTTTTTTATATATTTTATATGTCTCAGTTGTGTCTGTCAATCATCTCTTAAGGTATTGGCTGCTATCTCTACTGTGGATGTGAAGTGATGCTCTTTAAACCTATAGCTACATTATTTGATGCCCTCTGTCAGTGTTGGTTGAATCATCAGATGTGTTCAGGTTGCCTACAGTTACATCTCTTTTCACACAGCCTTTTTTTTACATTTATTCAACATGAACATTTAAAGACTGCATTCCTCACCTGGTGACCTGAAGGTCCAGGCCTCATCATCATCGAAGTGTGTATCTCCAGCTGTGAACCTCTCACCAGGGAAAAACGCATGAGCAACCGTGCCCCCTGGCCCATCGAAGGGGTATCCGTCGTTGTGGTCYGCTTTAGTGAAGTCGATCTGAATGTCGGCGTCGTTTCCGGCCACCTCGTGGAAGTTCAGGGGCGCGATGTCGCTCCAGACCTTCAGGGCGTAGTACATGAGGGCTCGGACCGTGTCCCTGCCCAGCAAGGCTGAATCCTTGGGGAAGGTCCTCACTCTGAAACAAAAAAACAACAAAAAAATAAATAAATTGTTTGATTGAATAAATGATYTAGGCTGATAGACCTTTGAACCTTCTAGTACCTATTCAACTTTCACAATTCCTCACCAKCAAATGGCAAAGAGGATGCTTTGGTCTTTCTGAATGTATTCATAAATTTAACCTTTTCTGGAGTATTTTATGAACCAAAAACAGATTTAAAAACTTTCAGGAAATAACCGTTGGAATATCCTTGCACACCTGAATGAACTTTTGGAGCAACAATGTCTATATTTCAATCAACTAAACACAGATTGTGCTAAAATTTGGTGTTGTAGTAGCAAAGAGTCAGTCACACCCCTTATGCTCTGAGTGCAACATATCATATGAGATTGTGCATGTTGATTTTTAGTAAAGACCCAGCCCACTTCCTAAAAGGTTGAGCAAAAGGGCAATGGATTATGGGGATTGGTTAATATATCGTAAATTTTATGTTTAATTAAATTTAAATAGTACTGCCATTGTCATTACACATTTTTATAATTGTCAATGCAAACAGTTGCCTTCTGCAAAAAATATACATACAGCGGGTAAAATAAGTAGTAAACATGTCACCATTTTTCTCAGTAAATATATTACTAGAG